GATCCATGCATAACCCATATGAGAAATAGAGAATTTGATAATACATTACACAAACCAAACAAATCTTGTCTTGAGACTGTTGAAGTTCTCAAAGCTCACCAGAAAGATTTTCCGCATAACAAATTCTGAAGACGGGGTTCAACACTTGTGGCAAAACAAGAAAGTGGAACTTGGCTTTCTCCAAATATGATGCATCTTTTGGCAAAAACTTTCGATATCATTTATAGTGTTTTTTTCTTCTAATTTTTAACGTTTTGATGGCATGCCAAATTGCCGAAAATTCTATTATTATAGGACTTATGCATACCTAGACGCCTTATATATTTCTAATCCCTTCTCAAACTTATCATGATTCGAGTGTTAGAAAGTTTAAGAAACACTCCAATTTTTTTTTTCCAATTTAGCCTAAAAAAATAGTAGAAGAAGTGTATTTTTTCGAAAATCAATCACATTGTCCACAATTTTTACAAAAGTTCTGTATTACATATATATTTTTTATACGAAAGCCTATTTTTAGGCATTAGAAAAGCCGAATGAGGAAGTGAGAAACAGAAAAAGGAGAGATGAAAGAGATATAACAATTTGTCTAAATTATAAAAAGAGAAAGTCTTATTACCTCTGCCGCAAATAAAAAAAAAAAAATCCCGAAAAATCTATAGAGAGAGAGAGAGAGGAGGAGGAAGATGGGGACGAAGGAAAGCGAATGAATCAACCTTACCAATGAAGAAGAAAGAAAATTGAAAGATATTTATATATCTCTAAAACCTTTCTCTATCTCTCTCTCTCTGTTAAAGCAGTATCACTTCTTGTCCCTAAAACAAAGACTTGAGACTGTGTCCTAGAGAGATCTTCTCTCTTTTATCTTAGGACTCTCACTTCTTATCTCAAATCTACTTCAACTCTTATCTCCAGTCTCCACATTTTCCCAGAAATTTCAACTCTTGTTCTCTTCTCCAAAGAAAACTCTGCAAGTAAGTTCTGTTCATATTCCTCTGCTTCTCTTCTCCAAAGAAAACTCTGCAAGTAAGTTCTCTTCAACATGTGTTTTTGTCAGATCCATTCTCCAGAGCTTGAGAGCTGTGACCATTGTTTATATGAGACTTGTTTTTTGTTAATGGGCATTTCAAAATCATTTAAAGATCTGATCTTTCGATGACATTTCATCATCACTCATGTTTTTCCCCCAAATTTTCTTAAACTCGAAATTTTTGCTGCAAAGTTTCGATCTTTGGAATAATGATGAAGTCTCATTGTTGTTGAAATCAGTAAATGTTGATGTTGATACTTATATTTCTAGCGTCAAAACAATTGGGTAGTTGCGTCTGATGTCTTCCAAATTCAACTTTTTTGACCTAGTGGGATGCTTTAGTCTTGGGGACCCATAAATCAAGTCATGTATGAAAAAAATGTGATAATGCAACAGAACTTGCACTGTGTTGTAAAAGTGGTCTATTTTCAGATCTCATCGATCCATTTGTTCTAAATCTTAAATCTTGTGCATTGTATTGATCAAAGATCCAACCTTTGATTGCTGATCTAGCCGTTTAAGTCTTCAGTGTTAGGCTTCCACTTCCATAACAAAGTCATTTTTTTGTTGTTTCATTATAAGAACCTTTTATTTAGTTGATCCACTAAGTGTTTGACAACTTTGTTTTGATCTGATTTTATACTTGGTTTCACTGAATCTACAGGTGAGGTTTGGTTACATATATTGGTGTTATAGAATTATGAAGAGCGGGAAGCAATCTTCACAACCTGAAAAGGGTACTTCTAGGATCTTGTCACTGACGGTCCTGTTTATCGCATTTTGCGGTTTCTCCTTCTACCTTGGTGGTATATTTTGCTCTGAGAGAGACAAGATTGAAGCTAAGGATGTCACTAGGACGACTACAAAGGCAGTAGCGTCCCCTAAAGAACCCACGGTTACTCCTATTCAAATCAAATCCGTTTCTTTCCCGGAATGCGGGTCAGAGTTCCAAGATTACACCCCGTGCACCGATCCGAAGGTGAATAAATCTACTCTCAGCTTTGTGTGTTCGTTTCTTGTTGCATAAAGTTGAACTATTGTTGTGTGTTTTTCTTGTTCTCAGAGGTGGAAGAAGTACGGTGTCCATCGCCTAAGTTTCTTGGAGCGTCATTGTCCTCCGGTTTATGAAAAGAACGAGTGTTTGATTCCACCACCAGACGGGTATAAACCACCTATCAGATGGCCTAAGAGCCGAGAACAGTGTTGGTACAGGAACGTGCCTTATGATTGGATCAATAAGCAAAAATCTAACCAGCATTGGCTTAAGAAAGAAGGAGACAAGTTCCATTTCCCTGGTGGTGGTACCATGTTTCCTCGTGGTGTTAGTCACTATGTTGATTTGATGCAAGATCTGATTCCCGAAATGAAAGATGGAACAGTCAGGACCGCCATTGATACCGGCTGTGGGGTTAGTCTCTCTTTAACTACTTGAATTCTCTAATCAGTTCTGGTTGAAATTTATTCTCTGATCGGTTCCGCTTATAATTTTCCGTGGTTTCTTTGTAGGTTGCGAGCTGGGGAGGCGATCTTTTGGACCGTGGGATTCTGTCACTCTCTCTTGCTCCAAGAGATAACCATGAAGCTCAGGTTCAGTTTGCTCTTGAACGTGGAATTCCTGCGATTCTCGGGATTATCTCTACGCAACGTCTCCCATTTCCTTCAAATGCATTTGATATGGCTCATTGCTCAAGATGTCTTATTCCCTGGACAGAATTTGGTAAGCATCATCGAACTTAAACCCGAATAGAAGAAATGCTATTGACACCTCTGTAATGATATCTACCAATGCACCTGAGTTCTTGTGGTTCGTGTATTATTATCCATTTAATCTCAAACATTTGGAACGAAGGTGGAATCTATTTGCTTGAGATTCACCGTATAATCTAAAATGTGCTGTCTGATCTTGCAGGTGGAATCTATTTGCTTGAGATTCACCGAATAGTTCGACCTGGGGGTTTCTGGGTTCTTTCTGGTCCACCAGTGAACTATAATAGACGATGGCGCGGATGGAACACAACCATGGAAGATCAGAAATCGGACTACAACAAGCTTCAGTCACTTCTAACCTCCATGTGTTTCAAAAAGTATGCCCAAAAAGACGACATAGCCGTGTGGCAGAAACTCTCTGACAAATCTTGCTACGACAAAATCGAAAAGAACATGGAAGCTTACCCGCCCAAATGTGACGATAGTATAGAACCTGATTCCGCTTGGTACACTCCCCTCCGGCCCTGCGTGGTTGCCCCGACTCCTAAAGTCAAGAAATCCGGTCTCGGGTCAATCCCAAAATGGCCTGAAAGGTTAAATGTCGCACCCGAGAGAATTGGTGATGTTCACGGAGGGAGTGCAAGCGGTTTGAAACACGATGACGGTAAATGGAAGAACAGAGTTAAGCATTACAAGAAAGTTTTACCAGCTCTTGGGACAGACAAGATAAGAAACGTTATGGATATGAACACGGTTTATGGAGGTTTCGCTGCGGCTCTCATCAAGGATCCCATTTGGGTCATGAACGTTGTATCATCGTACAGCGCAAATTCGCTTCCTGTTGTCTTTGATCGCGGTCTCATCGGGACTTACCACGACTGGTAAATGTTTCATTTTGTCAAAAAACTTTGTTTTCATTATTTGGTATTGTGATATTAAGCTGAAATCGAAATTGCAGGTGCGAAGCTTTCTCGACGTATCCAAGAACATATGATCTTCTTCACCTTGACAGCCTTTTTACCTTGGAGAGTCACAGGTACGTTATGAATGATGAGTTACATTACATTGGTCACATGTAAAGTTTTTAAAGAATGCCTTAAAAAGTGTGTAATCAAGAATTCGGTTTTCAGCTGAATGTTTTCGGTTTGTCGAATTTGCGGTTTTAGGAGATTAGTAACCATTGTAAATCCAAATATACTATTGATCGATTTGGTATGGTTTAAGCTTGAGTTGTTAATTGGATAGAATTCGGTTTTTCTCATTTCGGTCTGGTTCATATTCACTTTTGTGTTGTTTTTCTCAGACTTATTTCGGTGTTCAGTTCGATTTTCGGGTTTGGTTTATCAAAGATTGAACACCACTAATGCACAATTTTCACTAGCTGTTACTGGTTTAGAGATTTGGCTTTGGTGTTAATGTGTTTGTTGAACCATATGGTAATGTGAACAGGTGTGAGATGAAGTACGTTTTGCTAGAGATGGACCGGATCTTGCGGCCAAGTGGATATGTTATAATCCGAGAATCGAGTTATTTCATGGACGCAATCACAACATTAGCAAAAGGGATGAGGTGGAGTTGCCGGAAAGAGGAGACCGAGTACGCGGTCAAAAGCGAGAAGATTCTGGTTTGCCAGAAAAAGCTCTGGTTTTCGTCTAACCAAACCTCTTGATGAGACCACCTGTATCATAGTGTTTATCATCTCCTGTGATGCACACTACAGAGAGAAGGATCTAGTCCTTTGAATCCAAGATATAGCTCTATAAACAATCTCCTTTTTTGTTCTCTTTAATTTCTTGGGCACGGTATAGATTGATACTTATATTTTTTAATTATATTTAAATATATAGATATATTAGTATGTGGTTTAAACACTATTATTATCAAGGTCTAAGATTTGCTTTACAAGAGTTAAAAAAATGTTGGAGTGAGGACCTCTTGATTAATAAACTGACTGATGCAACAAGTTGTATCATCTAGTCTAAGGCATTGTGTAACCCGAAAATCACCGATATGTTGCGCCATCCTGTAGCAGAATAATGCTATCTGGAAGATGAATGGAAATGGCCAAATTCAGGTTGAATAAAGAGCAAGTTTCATAGATGGACAAATGACTTGGGCTCCATTTTGGTGATCTTTTAGAAGGATTTAAAAATGATGTCAAATAGTGTGCATAACTGGATCAGAGATGATTGACATATTTTGGACAGGTCGAAGTAGAAATGGAGCCAAGACAAAAATCAACCGGTGATAGAGAGTAAATGTCAAGTTAAAAAGGACTCATTTATTTCTTATCACAAAGAATTATCTATTTATACAATACAAAGTTCCACGATGAACAACAGTATAAGTACGAGTAACTTCAAAAATTCTCACAAATACATGTAAACAGTCAATCGAAGAAAACTGTCATTTTGTGCGGTTTTGCTTCTCCTCGATTCCAGATTGAGAGAAGCGTTTCCTAAGAACTTCAAGAACATCTTCCATCTTCACATTCCTTTTAGATAGAAGCACCATTGCGTGGTATAACACATCAGCCATCTCCGATGGTGTTCTTGAAACTTCCTCATTATCCTCCAGTGTTCTGCATAACTCATCAGCTTCTTCCCTGAAACACAAATCCCAATAAGCTTTATAAGGATCCATAGCTCAAATTTCAATTTCAGATAACCGACAAACATACCTGATCTTTGAGCAAAGCAGAGCGTCATCCGTCAATAACCGTCTTGTCCATGACGGTTTACCTTCTTGAGGAACTGTTGATTCTTCTTTCCGCTTGGAAATGATTGACTCTAGCGAGTACAATGTTGTTAATGCTAGCTTATTTCCTGAAGGCTGTGATGCAGTCAGAAAAAAGTTAATTCTCTTCAGATTTCAATTCATCTCTTGTTACAGGAAAAGGTAAAAAAACAAGTTCCACAAAAGCAAACCTCATCATTGTTTAATTGATCAAAAACCGATGTGTAGTAACAAGTCTCTTCCCCTGTGTGACAGGTAGGTCCATCAGGTGTTCCAAGGTAAATAATCTGAAAAAATACAAACCAATGAGTTTATGACGAATAAGACTGTATTGATTCATATACAAGATGTGGTCCATGCAAACATACCGAATCACGATCGCAATCAATATACACATCAAGAATATTGATGAAGTTATTGGATGTCTCTCCTTTAGTCCATAAGGTTGATCTTGATCGACTAAAGAATGTAGCTTTCCGAGAACTGATGGTTGTGGAGAGAGCCTCCCTATTAACAAAGCCTTGCATTAATACTGCTCCAGTATCAACGTTTTGTGCTATTGCCACAGCTAATCCTTTGTCATCCCATTTTATGCGGTCCAATAAGTTATCTACCTAACCCAAGAAAACAACAGAAACCGTGATTAGATAACAGCCGCATAAACAATGCTTGTTGAGACAGTTATAAAAAGATCACAATTGCAGAACTACCAACACATAAAAAAACATTGTAATTTTCAATCAAACAAGCCGCTCTCTAATAGTATAAACAGTAAATGCATTATTGGACTAGATATTAAAGCCAAAAGAGAAATATCTCAATGGAGATAATTAAGTTGTGGAGGACAGATGTAGCCCATGCCATCACAGATTCAGATGACCAAGCTAACGATGAACACCTTCAGAGAGAATTCCAGACCAAAAGATGGAAACCATCAAAAAGCCTTTCCTTCTCTCTTTTTTCTTTACCAGAGATGTAACAGTTCCAACTCATTTGTCAAAGAGTAGGAACCTGACCATCTCTGGCCAAATCTCAACTATACAGAATCTAATAAAAATATAGACTTACCAAATAACATCTCACAAGTCACAAGTACCTCCTTTTTCTAAAATGGAACATAAGTTAGTTCGGAAGGTACCTAAGTAATTAAGTGTAGTAATCATATTACGGTAAGCACATGAATCTAAAGCAGACACTTGAATACCCATTTTCATTAAACGATCAATGAAGCATTAATCAAAATCTGAGAGCCTAAAACAAAACGTTTCCTTGAAAAGATATAAACTGTGATGAACAGATGTAGCCAAGTCATCACGAAACAAAGATGACCAAGCAAACGATGAGCACCTTGAAAGAGAAATCCAAACCTAAAGATGGAAACCATCAAAAAGCCTATCCTTCTCTCTCTTTTCTTTACCAGAGATGTAACAGTCCAAACCCACATGTCAAAGGGTAGGAACCTGACCATCTCTGGCAAAAATCCAAACTTTACAATATACAAGACCAATTTACTTCAGAAAGTGTTCATAGAACTAAATTACTTTCGGCATTACAACATACTTCAATGCTTTAATCAAATGTGATGAACAGATGTAGCTCAGCCATCACCAAATGCAGATGACCAAGCAAACGATGAGCATCTTAAAAGAGAAATCCAAACTCTAAAAATGGAAACCATCAAAAAAGCTTTTCCTTCTCTCTTTTTCTCTACCCGACATGTAACAGTAGTTACTCATATGTCAAAGAGTAAGCACCTGACAATGTCTGGTTCAATATATCAATCCCACGCTCTAATCCAAAACAAATCCTTCTTACACAACAATTCCATTGCTAATCATTCTATCTATAAGTTAAGATTATACATACAGAAGAGAGAATTCATTCGTTTACCTTAGCTTGAAGAGCAATGTTCTTATTATCATTAGACGCAAACACGACATTTGATCTGCTTCTCTGCTTAGTATCTCTAACGCAATAAGATTTGGGGATGAAGCAGCTACTTCTCGTTAAAGACTGTGTTAATGCATTGTACGATACCGCCATTTTAACGCTATGAGAAACGAAAAGTTGCGGCGGATTGAGAAAAAGAGTGACGGAAGAAGAAGAAACCCTAATCAGTATTACAATGACAGTGAAGGGCTTTTTAAAGACCGACTCAGCAATTATATGAATAGACTAAAATGCCCCTCTTTAGCTCCTAATATTTGGAATTTACAAAAGCATCCCTATTAAGTGCTTCGAATTTCAATTTCCGCCATAACTTGTTTTTTCCCAATCATCATCTCCACGGGATCCAAAACCCTAGAAGATCTCTCCCGAGTTATCTTCAAGCTTTCGCATTGGGCTTCTGATATCAGTCTGGTCAACTCCGGCGTTAGTTTTCCGATCAGGTTTGTATGCGTGTCTTCGTTTCGCTTTCTAGGTTTCTGGAATCGCTTCTGAGGTTTAGTTTTAGCTTCTCGATTTGTGGATTTGATGAAGATAATGAGACTAAGCATTGTTTTGTTATTCTCGATTCAGTCTCATGTTTTTTTTTGCTTAGATAATGATAAACCTAGGGCTTGGTTGATGCTAATTTGAGTTTAGCAACTAATTGTTGATTCCGGATTTGGCATTGCCATTAATCTGTCAAATTTTCAATTCCTGCTTGAACCTCTGGTTTTTGAATTGAATATAACTTCGTCTAGATGTTATGTTTGACTGCATTGTCACGGTTTTCATTGGTATTTTAGGCTCCAAATAATCGAAGATGGCTGCTCCAGGAACAGGAAACAAATCTTTAAAAGATTACTTGAAGAAGTATGAGAGTAGTGATGTTGTAGAAAAGAAGAAGAAGAAGAAGCAGAAGAAGCCATCTAAACCTGAACCAAAAGGTGTTTTAGTTGTCGACGAAGATCCAGTTTGGCAAAAGCAGGTTGATCCTGAAGAGGACGAAAACGAAAATGATTCAGCAGGTAATGGCTTAACTGTTTCTTGTTTCTTGGACTTGTTGCATCTGCAATGCTTTCACTTCTCTGATTTGGTAACAGTTCACACTGACGAATTGTGTGTTTTTTCTTTGGTTTGTCAAGAGGAAAGACCTTTGGTTGACGAAGACATTGATGTTAAGAGAATGAGGAGGTTGGAGGAAATTAAGGCAAGGCGTGCACATAATGCCATTGCTGAGGATGGGAGTGGGTGGGTGACGTTACCTCTAAACCGTGAAGACACACAATCTGATCTTTCTCCTCCACGTAGACAAAGAACTCGTAATGACTCGCCCTCTCCTGAGCCTGGGCCTAGACGTTCGGTTGCGGATAGAGTTGAAACAGATATGTCACCACCACGTCGGAGAAAACGTCACAATTCGCCTTCACCTGAACCTAACAGAAAACATACCAAGCCTGTTAGTTTGGATTCTGATATGTCACCACCTCGCAAAAGAAAAGCCAGGAATGACTCGCCTTCACCAGAGCCTGAAACTAAAGTCCCCAAAAATCTGAGTGAAGATCTATCTCCTCCTCGTAGGAGACATGTTCATTCTCCATCGCGTGAATCTAGCAGAAAGCGTTCAGATTCTGTTGAGTTGGATGATGATTTATCTCCGCCTCGCAGGAAAAGAGATTTACATGGTTCACCTGTCTCAGATGTAAAAAAGAAGAGCAATGATCTTTCTCCTTCACGGAGAAGACGATATCATTCTCCATCACCTGAACCGGGTAGAAGGCCTTCAAAATCTATTGCCTCAAATGCTGATTTATCTCCACCCCGCAGGAATATGAATATGAAGGGTTCTCGAGACTCAGATCTTTCTCCTCAAAGAAAAACTGCGGATCCTCGACGTTCTTCCAATATTGATAGCTCTCCTCCAAGGAAACCACGCAGAGAATCACCACCTCCTCAAACAAGCAAGGAGCAACGAAAGACCGGTTTGATTAGTGGCAAGGACATTGGAAGTGAATATCGAAAGAAAAAGGAGGATGAACAATTGAGGTAATAATCAAAAAGTAGATTAAGCGTTTTTAGAATCTGTTACTGCGTTTTAGTTATAGGCATCAGGTTTTGTTTCAGTAGTATTGGGGCGAGTAGTTTCCTATTTCCCTGAAGTTTCATGTTGCCTACTTCCTAAGTTTCTAAGATTTTCTCTTTTGTGTCTTTAAATAGGGAATTCATAGAGAGACCAGTCTTCAGTAACGATGATTTGAGATTCTCGACTGCATGTTTTTAGGGTGCCATCTTTCTGACAAATTATATACTCTTCTACAGGTTTAAAAATATGGATTCCGAGCTAACTGGACAAAATGCAGAAGCAGTATTTCGTGACAAGATCACAGGTGAGGACTATAGGTCCCTAGTCATTACAAGTTGCAGTAAGAATGCATAATCTCATGTCTCACTCCCAGATGCTTATTGATATTGCAGGGAAGCGTATATCAAAGGAGGAATATCTTAAATCGAAGCAAAAAAAAGTGATAGAGAAGCCAAAGGTACTGTTTGCTCGTTAACTCTATACTCTCCAAAAGATGTGTTGTAATCTGAATCTGAGACAAATAGAGTGACGAATGTAATTACCTAATTCTTGTAGGAGATAAAACTGGAATGGGGCAAAGGTTTAGCTCAGAAGCGTGAAGCTGAAGCTAGACTACAGGAACTTGAGCTTGAGAAGGAGAAGCCATTTGCTCGGACAAGGTACTTTATTGATTCTTCTTCTTGAGCTCGAGGTTGAGTTTTTATTACTTGGTTGTTTATTCAAACAGTTTTTATCTCTGTTGTTTCAGGGATGATCCGGAGCTTGATCAAATGTTGAAGGAAAGAGTTAGATTTGGAGATCCAATGGCTCATTTGGTTAAGGTGTTGAATTTACTTCTGCTTACTAACACATGGATAACCAAGATTGCCTTGTCATAAAAGCATTATCCTAATGTATTACCGATTTTGTATCTCGCAGAAAAAGAAGCACGAGACAACTCTTGTGGATCTAGGAGACGACGAGGAGATGAAAAAATCTGGGTTCATTATACCACAAAGTGTGCCTAAACATAGTTGGTTGACGAGAGGGTTGGAAGCTGCAACAAACCGTTATGGGATTAAACCGGGTAGACACTGGGATGGGGTCGACCGTAGTAACGGTAAGTTCCTCTAATACATTTGTTTTCATTATTCATATTTAAAGATTCCATTAGAAGATTATTTGGCTGATCTGTTTTATTTTTTGTGTATTGGTTCAGGAACTGAGAAGAAATTGATTAAGACGACCAATGAGAGGAAAGCAACGGAAATAGAGGCTTATCTCTGGTCCGTTGCAGACATGTGAATCAGATATTGTTCTGCAAAATGTGGTTTGATTCAGGAGATAAACATTCTAAACTGTGGAAGTTTGGGTTTGTACTTGTTCTATATGTCCAGAGAAACCGGTCCAAAAAACGCACTCAAGTGTTTATTCGGGGTTGAATACAATCTGAATTTCTTTGAACATCCTTAAAAAAAAAATTTAGTTCTAACACTATAGTAGTACCGAATAAAGAGAAAAAAAAATGTTCAAAAGTTTAAGTGAATTCAAACATAGTGAACCATCGTTGTTACTTGTGTAATGCAGCATGTAATCTTAAGGTTAGATTCGGCAACTTTATACGGGCCAGGCTAATCACTCATTGTTGTGAATGCATATTAACTAAAGGTTAGATTCGGGAATTTTGTATGGGCCAGGGAGGCCATTTGAGGGTTTTTTTTGTTGTTTTCTTGGAAATTATGGAGGAAACAAAAAGTGTTCCAAGTTGTAAATTTGAAATTAAAATATTTTTATCGGTTTTGGTTATTGGTGGTTAATCACCAAACACCTCTCAATACTTATCTACTTAACATTTTTGAAGTACAAATTTGCTCTTTCCAATCGGATCGGATTTTTTTGTGATTTTGACCCGGAAATCTTCAATCGGATCTTTCCTTATTTTTTGGTAAATTAAAAACGAAAATACATAATAAAATCTAAATTATATATATTTTCTCAACTAATTACTATATCTAAACTATTTATTTATGGTATATTCTTTACAATTTTTTTAGATTAGGAAATCAAATATAATAATTTAATGCTAATATAACAAATTTGAGCTAATTTTCCTAAAACCTCTCTACCTAATTTAAACATAAATATATGATTCTTATTTCACTTTTATTTGATCTTATATTTATATTATTTTGAATTATTATAAAATATATATAGTTAATAAATTTTAGTTTTTTTTTTCTGCATATGTTATGATTCAAATTTTTTAAAACAGACATATATTACTCAATCGATGAAAAAAAAAGTATGTGTGTAATCTATATTAACATTTTTTTAGAACAAATTGCACATTTAATCAAATCGTTTTTTTTATTCTGACCTGAAATTGAGTCATTCAGATCTTTTCTTAATTTCTATAATTATCTAAATTGAGACAGTATACCACGGGTGAGATCCTAAAATTAACAAATCAAAATACAATTATTTAGTATTTTAAGATACAATTATAATTTTTTTTTATGGGTTGGTCCAAAAACACATACTAATTTAAAAATCTATATTATGGAAACCATTTGAAAGTAAACTTTTAAATTGACTCGAATTATATGTCTTTTAAATAAAAGAATAAAAGTGTTATTAAAAAAATAACAAAATGATGTTTAATTTCACATGACAGGAGTATATGGTGGGACGGGTTTAAGTCGATATTAATACGGGACAATATACCACGGGTGAAATCCTAGAATTAACAAATCTAAATTTAATTATACAATCTTAAACAGTAAACAAAACAAATACAACTTAAAATATTTATTTTTTATATACAACACATATGACCCGCGGTGTACAACAAAAAATATTATACACAACAAATTCATCAATTTATAAAAAGATAAAAAAAATGAAATAATTAACCCGCGGGTCATATCCTAGTTTTTCTTTAAAGAGGTACACGCTTTCAAATATGTACGGACACTTGTTAATTCTAAGACGTGGGTCTATTTTGATTTTGGTTGTAGCATAAACTAGTTCACTTGGAAATAATTTTACTTTGACTGTTTTTTTTTTCTTCTATTCCTTAGATATTAAGGCCATGAATGGATGCTGTTTTTGATTTTGGTTTC